TAAGAGGAATGAACTAGAAGCAAGAAGAGGGTCTGTTACAGGGAAAAAAGAAAAAAATAAAAGAAGGTACATCCACCACAGGGGCATTATAACAACTGGACCCCATAAATCCATACACCTCAGTGGCCTCTGGGGCTTTGACCTGCAGCAACACCTGGTGCACAGTGGAGACCCTGAATCCTCAAGGGAAAATAAAGCTTGGGGTGTGTCACACTTAAGTGGATTAAAGTTTTAAAACACAGCAGGAGGGAGATAACTAGAGGGGAGAAAAAGGCAACCCAGAAAGTTGCCCTGGTTACCTAGTAGGCGCAGCCTGTCTGGGTTTGGATATTCCAGCAGACATCGTTCCAGGGCAATTACTACTGCTGTCTTGAAGTGTCTGGTCACTCCACCTCGGTGCTACTGGCATGTTCCTGCTGAGTGTTATCCAAGTCCACAGAAGGTCCACACCCCAATGACCTCTTCAGATTAACGTGTCCTTTGGCTGAGAAATTTTCAATATTTTTTCCTTTTAGCTTTAGTCTGGGTTTCCTCACATTCTGGCTGAGGGAAAAATGTGAGCATGTACCTGTGTGTGGTTGTGTACACATGCATGTTGGTGTGTGACTGGTTGTGTGTTCATGGGGGTTGAGGGTGAGCCCAGCCTGCTAGAAGTCTGAAGGACTCTGGTCTGAGCCCCAGACACCCACATTCTCAACTCAGCACTGTACAGCTGATCTCTCCACCCTCCAGCATCAGTTTTGTCAGGGTCTTATCCAGATTTATGAGAGAGCTGGGTTTCACTGGCCTCCTAGGTCATTTTCAGCCCAAAATGGTATCTGGGATCCCTGGAAACAGAAAAGCCAGAGATTGTTTTAGTGGGAGCCATTGTTTTCTTACCAACAGGGCTAACTGTACTATCCTCTCCAAATTATTGTTTGGGCTCCCCAGACCTTGTTGTTCTGAGTGTGCTGATTTCATTAGCATTTCTTGAGCAGCAAAACTCCAACACTTGGAGCTGGAGGGTGAAAATGCAGAGCATGGCCTGCTCTCTGGGAATCTGCCAGGCTAGAGGGAGGGCACAGCGCACAGGCCCAGTGCCGGAAGCCTGGGCCTGGCAGACAGGCAGGCTATGCTGCTGCATGTGGTGGCTCTTGCATTCCTTTGCTCACTGACTAAAGGGATCTGTAGAACCTGTATGCCATGCCACGTGAGATGCTGGGCCAGGCAGCACAGCCTTCCCCATAGAACCTGCAGTCTGGTGGCAACAGGTGGAGAGGGGGCCTAAAGAAAACTGCTGGGGAGTGGGCTGGGACAGCATCCAGAGAGCACCCTTTTCCACTAGCAGAGGTGCCACTGTGCCTCCTGCAAGAGGCAATAGCAGCCATCTTCCTGGATCTGTAGTTAGCTGAGTCCGTTCTCTGGGGAAGGTGAGGTCTTACCACATCATCTGGTGGCTGCAGTCAGACAGAATTTGGGTAGAATGTACTAGATGGGAACACTGTAGTAAGGATTACCAAGTACTGTACATTAATTCAAAAACGTGCTGGGGTGTGGGCTCAGTGGTAGATGACTTGTTTATCATGTGCAAGGCCCTAGGTTCCACCCCTAGCACCACAAAAACAAAAAACAAACCATCTTGCAAATTGTCTCACTGGTTGCTCATCTTACCTAAATGAAGCAAAATTTTTACTACACCTGACTCTCAGATGAACCCCTTGACCTGAGACCTGTCACTGTGACCTGGTGACAGCTGTGTGTGCCTACAACAGGGCACTTCTCCATATGAGGGCACTTAGCTACTTTATGTCTAGTCAAGAACTCAGTAAATTCTATCAAGAAAGTCTCTGGCTGGTGGAAAAAGAGTAAAGGTTTCCCTGTAACAGCGGGGCTTGAGGCTTGTAAGAGAGAAGATTTGGTCTTAGTTGTTTGTACTAATTAAAAATGGCTCTGGAGCTCTGCAGCCAGGGAGCATGGGAGAGCAGATTGGCACCACCACCACTACCACCCTGTCTGTTTAAAGGAAACTTTACAGCCACCAGCAGCCCCTTTGATCTGTAAACATCTAAGACCTGGATGGCTGTAATTAAATCACCAGGCTCCCAGAAAGGGGAGCTGCCTCTGCCCTGGAGCCTCTCTTTAAAGAACACTTAAACACAAGCACGTGCATGTGTGTCTTTCCCTTTCTCAGCTTACAAGACAATATGTAATTTTTAATATTTCCAAGTTATTTTTTTTTTCCATTTTCTGTTCTTCTTTTTAATGCCCCTAAATTGATTTTACAACCCACATATGAGTCACAACTTAAAATCTGAAAAGCACTAATAGTTGTGCATAAACTCCTGCCTCAAACAGGGGAGAATATACTTTCTTTCCATGTAAACATGAAACATTTGTTCAGCACATACTGTGTAACAGGCAAAGTCTCCATAGATTTCAAAATACCAGTATCAAACAGCTCACACTCTAACCCATCATGCACTTCAATTAAAAATATTTTAAAGATAGTCCAAGTTATTTTTGAATCTTAACCTTCTTATTTACTCTTTTACAAGTTGCATCCTTTATTCTTTTTTATGATGTTTGAAATTTGGATAAGCCAAAATTTTAGCTGCTTACCTCCTTTATCAAGTAAAAATTTTATCATTATAGATTCACCTGCATTTATAAGAAATAATGGAGAGAACTCCCACACATGTCCTGTGCACAGCTCCTAGGGTGACTGTAAAACTGCAGTGTACTGCAGTACCTGCTGCAAGCAAAGCTTGTCTACTTCTTTCTTTCTTAACATAAAATTTGCTGTCAGTGACATTTTGTACACTCACAACAGTGTGCTGCCATTATCACTCTCAGAAAGGGGTCCAAGAGCACTCACTCCCCGTTCTCCCCTCCACAACCACTGACCTGCTTCCCCTGTGGGTTTTTCTCTTCTGGACAGTATGGACAGTGTGTGCTCTGAGTGCTGCCTGCTCCATCCAAAAGCCTCTGGGTGTATGTGTGTTGGGGTGGTGGGGGGAATCTGTTTAAATGAGGTTTTACTTGGCCCTAGACTTCCTGGTACAGATCAGAAGTCCAAGTGAGCTCCTCTCACACAGGGTCCAGTGGATAAACCAGACCTCAATCAGAAGTGTTCATCTGCCTTCAGAGAAAACCCAAGAAGCACTGGGGCTGCAGCTCAGTGGTAGAGCACTGCCTCACACGTCCAAGTCCTGGGTACCAGCCATCTTAGTGGGACACTTACATTGATACTCTGGAAAAAAAAACAAACAGCAAATCCAAAGGACAGTTACAAACAAATAAAACAAAACCCTAGTTTATAGAACAAATAGGTACAGCAAAGGTACATTGGTGACAAGGACAAAGTGCAGTGCTGCAGGCAGAGCAGGTTCCCTGCTCCCAGGATCCTGCACAATGGCCCACTGAGGACTGAGAACTGTCAAGAAGCACTCCCTCTAGAGGAGGCTGATGGAGCCATTTGCTTTGAGAGCCAGTGGTTCTCATTGTTTCTGACCTGGTAAGAAGTCATCCCTTGCAGAGGTCCAGCCAGCCTGGCCTCCATGCCAAACAGACATTGTCTCTTGGCGCTCACAGTGCATGCCCAAGACCAGCCTCTCCACTGCCACTGCCTCAACCCAGAGAGTAGTCAGCAAAACAGCCCCCTACCCAACTCACCAACTGCTTAAGCATTTGGTTTTTATCTCTTGAAAAGAATGTCGTCTGCTAGGCACCAGTGGCTCACACCTGTAATCCTAAGATACTCAGGAGGCAGAGATCAGGATTGTGGTTCGAAGCTAGCCCAAGCAAATAGTTCTATGAGACCCTATCTCGAAAAACCCTTCACAAAAAAGGGCTGGTGGAGTGGCTCAAGGTGTAGGCCCTGAGTTCAAACCCCAGTACCGTAAAAAAAGAAAGAAAAGAATGTCATCTGTTCCAGTAGGGGATGTCCCAGGCTTCACTCCCTGGCTTAGCTGCCAGAGAGTATGTGGGGAGCTCACTTCAGATGGACAGTGGTTCAAAACATTAACATAATTGTATTCATAACAGCCCTGGAGAACCAGGCACAGAACAGGGGAGAGATGAGCAGGCCGTGAGGGCATCTGAGACCATGGGTGTAAAGGAACAATTGTGAGGCCAAGAAAGTGTCAGCAGTGGGAACAGCCCTGGGCTGTGGTCCCTCACTAGTACTGCTGGTAACCAAGGCTTGGACCCAGACCACTCTGCCCACACAAGCACAGAGCTTCCAACAGCTGAGGGTAGGTAGCACTGGGACAGACTGGAGCTGGCCAGTGGACAGCAAACAGGACATTGAAGGAACTTATTCTTGTCCTGTGAAAAACAGACAAAGGACCAGATGCCAAGTATGGACAAGGGGCAGGGAGGATAGCCAGCATGATGCCCACCAGGATCCAGCTCCACTTGGCTTTCCTCACTCCCATCTCCCATGGTCCAGGCTGCAGAAGTATCACCTACAGCCAGGGCACAGGTACGAGGACAGCTGAAACCAGGAGTCCTCCTGTTGGGTGGCAGGGCCCCAAGTGAACCTGGCTGGGTTGAGCGGCTAACCTCTGTGTGGACCTCAGTGTAGGTGAGGACAGTCAGGAGCAAGGTGTGTGCAGGCAGTGGCCCTCAGCATTCTGGGCATTCCTGGAGTATGGCCTCCTTGTACAGCACTTGCCTGCTGCTGTCAGACCAGGTTGGGCATCCTCTGCGGCCAGGGTCTACCTTGTGTTCCTTTTCTTTTTACTTCTTTCTTCCTTAATCTGGACCACCTCTGCCTTTCTTTGTCTCCAGAAGCTGGGTGATTGTCTGGTGGGATGCCCCTCAGTCTGGTCTGCATGATATTTTAAAGATGACATGATGAGCAGAAGCACACACACTTTGCTTTTCAAGGGCCCACACCTGCTACTCCCCCCAGCCCCATGTCAGGCTGTGTGCTTCTGCCCACGGTCAGTGATGCATCTTGTCTTTAGTACCCCAAACCTCCATGTTCTTCCCTGAGAAAAGTCCCTTCCTGCTTCCAGCCTGCTGGGGTCACCTTGGTTAGTGTCCATTCCAGCCCCAATGACCAGATGCTATGGGCACTTGACAGCAGATGGAATGTGCACGTCCGAACCGGAATCACAGAGGAGATGCCTGTGGGGACAGACTGGGAGCATGTGCCAGGTAAGAACAAGCCACAGGCACAACCCTGCTCCCACCCCCTCACCCAGCCACAGTTGCCAGCCAGCCTATTTGTGGCCGCAGCCTGCGGTGCCAGGCAGGCCAGGCACTGCAGTCACATGGGAGAATTGTTTTGACCTGCTGTAAAGCAGCCTAACTTCTACCCAGCAGACACAGCTCTCATCCTGGTGTTGTATGATGTTTTACTGAGGCAGAAGTAGAGTTAGACAACAGCTAAAAAGCTGGGGGACCTAGGCCAGCTCACTGGGGCTGACACTGCCCAGGTCCTTTTGTCCTTTAGCTTCCAGCTCTTGTGGCCAGGCCAGCCCTAACTGAGACCTCCGTTTTCTCAGTGCCCAACACAATATAGGAAGTGCTGTTGGATGAATGCAGGTTGAGAGCAGCTCGGGGAGGGCACTCCCTCCCATGCACTCAGTGCTGAGCACCATACCCACTTTGCCTACAGGGTTGCAGGCTTGCCAGCTGGCACTGAGTACCAGGACCGTGTGGGCCCGCTGTCCAAATGGTGACCTTGCCCGCCGCTATGGTGTCACAGACAAAAACCCTGCTGGGGACTACTGGAAGAAAATTCCCGGAAATGTGTCATGTTTCACAGGCAGGTGCTGGGGCATGGTGGGCTATATCCCCTGGAGTCCTCAAGGCTCCTATGGGCCATGTCAGAGGGGTCTCTTGAAAAGGCTGCTCCCACTTGACTCTGCACCTCCAGAGCCAGAGCCAAGGATGAGGCCTACCTGAAGGAGGTGCCTGGACAAATGGGCTCTGCCAGAGTCTTCTGGCTGGTTCAGGGTGCCACCTGCTTTTAAAATTAAGGGAACAAAACACAGACTGGAGAAATGTCTTGTCCAGGGCCCTATAGCCAAAATGTGGCCAGGCCCGTATCTGGACCCAAGCCCTTGCCCCACTCTGCCCTCTGTCCCAGCTGTGTGGTTAACAAGCCTGTGACTGGCTGTTGTTCCTGCAGTGACCTCATCAGATGAGCTGTGGGCAGTGGGACCCCCTGGCTACCTCCTCCAGCGGCTCACAAAGACATTCAGCCACTTGCACAGCACCCAGAAGAGCAGCCAGGCAGCCACCCCCCACCCTGAGGACCTGGAGGATGAGTGGGAAGTCATCTGAAGGAGCCTGGGGCAGCAACTCAGGAGGGAGGAGGCAGAGGCTCTAGGATGGACACTGCTGGTTTCCAAGTTGCTCATCTGTGACATGCATCATCAACCCTTGTCCAGATACAGCTGCCAAGGCAGGACACCCCACACTTGATTTCATCCTGATTTGTTTCGATCTCATACCAGAACCCACAGCCTCAGCCACATGCCCTGAGCTGTTGCTGTAACAGCAGCGCCTTTGACATCTTGCCAAGGTCACCTCCAAGTGGGGACAGTGCACCTGCATGCCCTAGCTTTCATGTGCTGCTGTAAGTTCTCAGCAGCAACTCCAGGCCCTGTTGTGGGAGATGGTGACACAGAGAGCTTCCATGGGCAACAAGTCAGAGCCAGGAGCTGGGGACACACCTAAGGCCAGTGCGGGCAGCAGGGCCCCCAGGACATGTCCCCATCAGTATCCCCAGGCTAAACAAAGCTGCATGTCAGAGCTCTGCAGTCACCAGATGTGCTTGGCGATGGCATTGTCTCCATTACAGGATCCCCTTGCATCTCTCTGATGGGAAGGCAGATCATCTGTGGGGGAGAGCGCTGGGCTGTGTAGGGTGGAGGGCACGCGCACACGCACGTGCGCACACCACCTCACCTTGCTGCCCACACACAGGTGCTGCCCGCCTCAGCCAAAGCAGCAAAGGCCAGTGGGTGCAATGGAACCTGAGGGAGGTATGTATACACAGCCTCTGGGGAGGCACAGCCTACAGGGGCAGCGCTGGCCAGACATGGGGAACTGAGCCATGGTAGCTGACTTAGAGAAGTCTGTGGAGTGATGTTTAATGCTGCTGGTGGCATCAGAAAGCCAGACGCATCCTCAGAGGATGACTCTAATTATTGCCTTTTTGTTTGTTGTATTACAAACCTGCATAAGATGCATAAGATACCTCATTTGAAATCAAATCTTACAAATTTAGAAGAGAAACATATCTTCTGAAAACAGTGGAGGGCCTTTTGTTCCTTCCAGTGGTTTACCCTGAGCCTGTCCTGTCTTGGTTGTAGCTTCAGAGGGGTGGCTGTCCCCAGCGTGTCCTCCACTTGTAGTCAGCCAGTGCCCTCAGTGGGTGTGGGGCTTGATAACCAAGGAGGTGGAACCAGTGCTTGCCATTGGCAGTTGCTGTGGCCAGGCACACAGTGGTCCTTGGGGTCAGCTCTTCTTTGGGGCTTCTAAGCTTCAGGACCAGGCTGCCCTCCCCTATAGAGGTAGCTCCATGACACTGCTCAGGCTGGCTGCTTTTTTTAGCCTGCCTGTAGCCCAGACCTGTTTTCTACTAAGCATGTATGTCAGGGAGCCCCCAGGCCACAGGTGAAGGGTACCAACCAGCAGTGAAGAGAGATTTCCAGGTTTCAGTGAAGAATGAGTGCTGAAACCCCTGATCTTCACACTTCGCTTTTATAGAACCCCTTTTGTAAAAGTTCAGTGACAGCAGAGATGGCCCAAGTTGGCTGCTCTTCTACTGCAAATGCTGTGCCTTGCCCGGCTCCTCTCGATGGCGGCACTCTTAGCCCCTGGGACTATAGTGCAATTAAACCAAGTCTAGTGGATACTTTCACACTAATTTTCACTTCAGTGCTTTGATGATTTTCTTCCTGGTTTTAATTTTTAGTTGTGCTTTGAGACTGTGCAATAAACTAGAATTTTCCAAACATATGAGTCTAATGCTTGAGCTAGGAGAAGGTACGTCACAGATGCTCCTGAGGGCTGTGCTAAGAGATCCCGCTAGCCTGGCCCATTGCCAGCCCGGCAGTGCCACCAGCTCTCATGACCTGGTCATTATTGGAATATGCACCAGTTTGCCCAGGTGATGTCATGGGTGATGACTACTCCAGAGCTAGACACACCCTCTGCTGGCCCTGGCAAAGATGTCCTGAATGAGGCAGAGCCCAACACTGTCTCCTCATGAAGTCAACAGCAGCCTTTGGGGGTTCAAGTCCCTGGTTCTATGTCCCCAGCCAACAAAACCATATACCAGAAGTGCCCTACTGGAAACTAACATTAAAAAAAAAAAATTACCTCGAGTGTCCTGGGAAATGACCTAAACAACAAATGTCAGACCTGGGTCAAGAAACAGGGAGACTTTACAGAAGACAGAAGAAAACTTGAAGAAAGGGAGACATGGCTTCCTCTCCAGGTCAAAAGGCTAAACACATATGCCAAGACATCTGTCTTTAAGAAAGGAATTCGCAGGTGCAGCACTTCCAGAATCACCACTGGGATGTTCTTCTTGAGATGGAGATTCTCAAAATCAGCAGTGCCCACAGACACCCCATGTTCATGCTAGGTTTTTCCAGCCTCACATCCTCCTCACCAGAGCCCTGAATCCAGTTAGCCTCAGGAGATCCCGAAAGGTTAAGTAACTTGCTAAGTTGTACAGGGAACACTGAGATTGGAACCCAGCTTGGCAGAATTGCACACCTCTGCTAACTGATGCAACCTCACAAACAGGTGTGAGACCCAGCAGGGGGCTGGCATGTCAAGCATGGCCCTCACTACTAAAGGGCCCCAGTAGTCAGCATGGCACAGGAGGTACTGCAGACATGGTAGGAGGGCAACTTCAAAGCCTGTGTGGCCACTGCTTATTTCTGTGAACAAAATAACAATAAATGGGTTAAGTAAAATGGGGAAAAAAATCTCTGACTTCTGGATGTCAAGGACATCCTAAACTCAAGTGAGGGGAAAGGCCACAGAAGAAAATCCACACAGATTTAATTTCTCCAAAATACAGTCTGTAAAGCAAAACCCTTACGTAGAGCTGGGGGATAGCTCCATGGTAAAGCTCTTGCCTAGCATGCACAAGACCCTGAGTTCCATCCCCAGGACCACAAAACATCCTACATAACATCATAAAGAGAGGTAACTGCAACAATTGAGACACTCATGTTGAATATTCACCATAAGAACTTGTCCAAACCAGGAGGAGGAATGACACAAGGCAAAGGATGGACAAAGGAGATGAAAGGGCACCTCACGGAAGTATTCCCAGCACCTGGGCAGACATGCCAGTGGGGCACGTAGGAGGACCACTGGCCATCCTTGGTCTGAAAGCATCACACTGCAAACTCTACTTCTGGAAATCTGTCCTCCAGAACAAATCTAAATGGGAAGAAACACAATTTCAAAGCACTGAAAACAGCCTGGCACTGGGAAGGGTGATGGGAACTTGAGCACATGCCTGATGCTACTGCCAAGTGCATGTGTGTGGGATGTGCTGCGGGGTCCCACGCGTTCCTGTGGCAGGGGTGAAGTTCCTTAGCATCAGGCTAGTGGCTATGCCAGGGGCCATGCTAGTTTTGTAGATCAGAGAATGGGGGAGGGAGCTGGTACCCTCATGGATGGCCCTCTACTCTTCTACTGCCCTGCCAGGGGCACTGGGGACAGAAAGAACTGAATTCTCACTTAGAGCCTGGCCTGACGGTACACAACTGTAATCCCAGCTACTAGGAAGGTGAAGGCAAGAGTTTCTGGCCAGCCTAGGCAGTTAGCAAGACCTTATCTCAAAAACAAAATACAAAGAAAAGCATTGGGAATGTGGCTCAAAGGTAATTCACTTGCCCTGGCCCTGGGTCCAATCCCCATTACTGGGCGGGGGGAAGCTCTCTACTTGGGACAAGAAGGTGGTCCGTGATTGTTTCTAAGCATATATCTTTTTTATCTTTTGAATCCTGAGCCATGTAAATGTATTATTTATTCCAAAAACAAATAAAATTTACATTTTAAAAATTCAGTACTCTAACATTATTTTCAGTATCAACACTAGTTGAATCAAATATCATAAACACCAAGGTCTTCCTAAAGTTCATGTTTACCAAGTGTTTTACAGGGAAATACTTAAACTACAGTAAGTTTAAAGAGTTAAAAAATTGTGGGCTGGTGGAGTGACTCAAGTAGAGCATCTGCTAGCAAGATCAAAAAAAAAGCCAGGCACTAGTGGCTCATACCTGTAATCCTAGCTACCTAGGATCAGGAGGATCGAGGTTCAAAGCCAGCCCAGGCAAATAGTTCGAGAGACCCTATCTTGAAAAAACCCTTCACAAAAATAGGGCTGGTGGAGTGTCTCAAGGTGTAGGCCGAGTTCAAGCCCCAGTACCACAAAAAAAAATAGTAATTGTGTAAGTGATCTGATTTCATACATATGTAAAACACATAGAAAAAATGTGTTCAAAGCTGGGTATGGTGGTACACACCTATCATCCCATTACTTGGGAGGTGGAGACTAGAGGATCAGGAGTTCCAGGCCAAAAAGGTACTGAGACCATCTTAAAAGCAAAACCACTGGGGTTTTTGGTGTGGCTCAAGTGGTAGAACACTTGCCTAGCATGTGCGAGGTCCTAGGTTTAATCCCCACCCAAAAAAGAAATCTTTCTGTATATGCACTGAACCCGTGAAGAGGTCTGGGCCAACTCCTGGAGCTGCACACAGCAAGCAGTGTAGCTGGTGCCTCCTGCTTGGCCCACCTCACCTGCCGTGGACTTCTCCATATAACCCAAGTGCTCTACTTGAATTTTGCAAGCAAAAAATCCATTTGTAGAAATCTTCACCTCTACCTTGACTGGGGTAATGGTTACACACAGGTAGACGTGAGTCATGACTTAAGCTATGCACTAACACCTTTGTGTTTTACTGCATGTAAATCATACCTTGCATTTTTAAAGGATCAGCAGCGCTGGTCCTATCCCTACTGCAGAGGGATAGGATGCTGTGACCAATTACCTTTGGCTTTAGTTTGTTTAGCCCGGGCTAGCCCTGAGCTGTCTTCCTGTACAAGGCTCCCAAGTACTGGGATCACAGGCATGAACCACCATGCCCAGCTGCAATTAGCTGCTCTTCAAACAGTTCAAACATGGAGTAGCCTTCCTGAGACCAAGCATGTTCCCTGCTTCCTGATTCAGAAAGCATCCTTGTCTGGACAGGATTTGAGGTAACTTAAGAAACTGCTGGCTGCGAACAAACAGGAAGGGAAAAGTCATAGTAGGAAAGTCAAGGCAACAGCAGATATAGTGTGCCAAAAAGACCCAGGTGGAGGTGAGAGCCACAGCAGCCAGGTGCCGGGCCACCCCAACAGCAGTCTTTCATAGGCCCTTTTGAGGCCTGGGCATAAGGTCTGCACACCTTGGGGAGGGGATAGATTCTCAGAGCTTGGTTCCGATGAGCCCAACAATGGCCTAGCCTCATCTGTCTTCCCTAATGGACAATGGGTACAGAGATCCTAGCCTCTGAACTCTTACCTGGAGCTATTCAAGGCCCTTGGGAACACTGGGCCCTCGGTGGACATGGGGGAAGCAAATTGGCAAAATTTGTTCATGAACTGAACAAAACCACCATCTTGCTGTCCCAGAGGCGGAGACTTGTCCAGAGCACAGTGCATGCCTTTGAGAAGCCATCAAAGCTGCTGTCTGCCAAGGGACACTGGTGCTGGACTTGGTGCCACCCAACCCCCCCCCGGTCCCGCAGAATCCTGCAGGCTCAGGTCCCAGTGGTAACAGCAACTGGGATGGCATCACAGTCCTTAAAGCCCTTCCTGAGACCAGAGGACCCAGGAGACAGATAAACCAACCCACCCTCCTTCTGCCCAGCAGCAGCCACCGATAACAGGCTCTGTTTATCTGCCTTTGCCACTGCTCCAGGCTCTCTGCTCCCACCAGCAGAAGCTGGGGTCAGGCATCCTGTGAGACTCAGAGAAAGAGCTGGGCCAAGACTCAGGCCCGCTGTGTGAGTGATGGGCAGCCTCTGCCCTCTGGACCTGTTTTCAACATCCTGCCCACTCCAATTAGAGCCATCAGAAGCTAATGCCCTTGGTGCCTCTATCCTCTTACCCATCTGAGGCACAGGAGCCTCCCGATGACCAGTCACTGTGCCATATGGGAGAAGTCCCCATAACTACTCCAGTGCCACCAAGCTACTTCCTTGTCACACTGAACCAAACCAAGGTTCAGAGAGGCTATTTAACTGGCCCAGGCCACAGCAGGAGGGAAGTAGGGCCTCACTTCAACTGGAACCAATGACCAGTTACGGCCACGCACCCCTTTGCCACACACTTCCCTGGAATGGGTTCACATTCCCTTCGGGGCTGCAGATGGTGTGGAGATTCCAGAACCTCTTGAAGACAAAAGGAAAGCAGAGACCCAGAGGTTTGTCCAAGGTCTCCCTGAGTCAGTGGCAGGTCCAGGTCCCCAGGCAAGATCTTCCTCTTGTCCAGGCCATCCCTGGACAAATCCACCCTGGACTCTGTAGTCACCACCCAAAGCCTCTTCCACCACCAGGCCCGCTCCCCTCAGGAACACTGAGTGCAGAGTGGGCAGCAGGTTCCCCTACCAGGCTAGCCACTTCAGGCAGACAGCTGGCCCTCTGCTCCTGGCAGGACAATCACAGCCCTTCAGCCCATGCCTCACAGGTTAAATTTCACAGAGCAGCAGAATTCCTGGGCAGGGCAGCCTGACCATCCTCCCTGGTCCTGAGGCTTACTTCGCAGCCAGGGAGGGTCCCTTTGTCCTGAAGGATGGTGGTATGTTCATTAACAAGTCTCCATCTTCAGAACCTTCCAGCCAAAACCAGCTATCCAGGCTGGGCAAGAAGCCTGCCTCTTGTCTCCACAGGCACCACCTAACACTCTATGGGCAGGCCAGAGGAGGGCAGGCCCAGAGAAAGGCCACCTAACCCTGGTGAGGGGCACACTGGCTACTGGGGGCCCCAGCTGTAGGGCCAAAGCAGATGCAATGACAGAGCTGACAGGAACAGGAGCTCTAGAACCTGGCACCTGCTAGTTGTGGGTGAAAAACTAAGAGGGGGTGACCGTGACAAATGCAGACCTGGCTAGGAGCCATAGTGATACCTAAGTGGCTGTGGCCAGTAGAGGGTGGAGATACAAGGAGGCCCAGCCTGGATCATATGTATATGTTTCCCCAATTCCAGCCGGCCTGGACTGGCCTGCCCAGCCCTACTTCTCCCTGCACTACAGGATCAGGTCCAAGCCGCAGAGTTCACAGCCTCTAAATGCTGACAGCACAGGAGGGCTGTCAGAACTACAGGACCTGTAGTCCTGTACACATTCTGTCCCCCTGCTTGGACACATCAGTCCCCACTCCATGCTTGCCACGCTCCTGCTCTGCTCAGCTGTCACTCCCCACACCACCTACCAGCCCCCCCATACCACCACCACCACCATCCATAGCTCCCAGAGGCTTCAGATCAAGGTGGGAGGCTAGTCTTCACCCCTTTCCACGATTGGGCAGTGAGATGGTGCTCAACCCCTCGGAGTCCCTCTGGCTGGAGCATGGGGCGCTGCGCCCAGCCGCACCCAGAAAACCTGAGGCTTTGGAACCTGCCTGATATCCCAGCCCAGCCCGAGAGCATGCGACAAACAAGGCAGATTCTTCCGTACACAGATCAATATATGTAAAGTGCCAGGTACTATGCTCTGAAAAACCAGTTCTGTCCTCCGAGTCTAGCCCTTGCCCGTGAGGTCCAAGGGCTGTAGAAAGGGTGGCAGCGGCAGCTCATCCAGGGCCTCGGGGAATCGGCCGGGAGAGATGGCAGTGACCAGCACCTGCATGGCGCGTGTGAAAAGCGAGGGCGGCGCCAACCCCGCCAGCCACTGGAACTTGTCCTCACCCAGTAGCCGCCGCCAGCGCGGCTGGTCACCCAGCAGCTCTCGGCGAGCCGGGCCGGCGGCGCCCGCGGGGGTGTACAGCACCAGCAGGTCCAGCAGCAGCAGGCGGCGCTGGCGAAGCTCACCAGGCACGGTGGTGGTGGTGGTGGCGGCGGAGGAGGCCTCAGCAGCAGCAGCAGCAGCAGCAGCAGCAGGGACCGAGCCGGCGTCGCGGCCCAGCTGGCGCAACAGTAGCTCGAGTGGTGTAAGGCCCCCGCCGTCGCGCAGGCCCGGCGACGCGCCGTGGCCCAGCAGCAGGAACAGGCACTCGGGGCGCGCCAGCTCGCAGGCCACGTGCAACGACGTGCCACCGCCCTCCACGCGGCTGCAGCCTCGCCGGTCGAGCAGGCGCGCACGCTCCTCAGCCGGGAAGTCGCGCACGGTACGCAGGATGCTGCGCAGGATGCCCACGCGATTGTAGCGCACCGCCAGCGCCACGTGCGGCCCAGGCGCGGCGCAGCAGCGGAAGCCCGCGCTGGGTGGCGCGAGCGCGCGCCGCGGGAACGTGGCCAGCAGGTAGTGCGCGTAGGCCTGGTGGTCGTGCACGAGCGCGTAGAGCAGCGCCTCCGACGGCGAATAGGCGGAGGCGCGCCCGCGCTCGTCCCAGTGGAAGGCCTCGCTGGCGCGCATGTCCTCCAACAGCCATACGGGCAGCAGGTCACGCACCGCCTGGTAGAAGGCGAAGGACGACTTCCGGCACTGCTTCTGCGCCCGCGAGCGCGCCGCGCCCGCGCCTTCCGGCCCGCTGTCAGCGCCCGCCCAGGGTCGCGAGTCCCACGGCATGGTGGCAGCAGGGAGCCTCACGACCTCAAGGCATGGGTCCTGACCAACCTGCGGAAAAAGGTTGTCTTAAGAAGCAGGCGACGGGGACTTCGGCCACGACCCCCGGACCCGGGAAATGGCGGTCCGGGGAGAGGACTCCTTTCCACCGCACACTCATCCTCACTGGGGCCTTGACTACCTGCCTCCAGCCTCGGCCCAGTCACTCTCCCCAGCTCCATTCTCTCCTAGGCCCAGACCTCGGTCTGCAACCTTGTTCTCGCTGCACCTGCTCTCACTGTCTGGCTCTCTTGGCACCTCTGCTACAGAAGCCCTAACCTGCCCCTGCCTTCAGTCCCCACGCCTTCCAGCCCTGGGACCTGCAGGAAGAGCTGTTCACACCTGGGCCAGGTCCATCCAACCCCAAACAGAAGAATCCAGGTGTGGGGGGGGGGGCGGAGTGGAAAACCCAGGCCACATCCCAACTTGAGCTAAATCCATGCTCCACCTCAAGATCCCTGTCCCCAGCCGCACCCCAACCCTGATCACTCGTGGGGGTCCCTGGAGCCTCTTCCCAGGCTAGTCAGGGACATGACCTATACTCAAACCGACCTGGTTCCTGCAGCGCAACCAATCGCTTGGGTCTGTGGATGTGGGTATTTCACTTTCCCTCGCCGAACCTCAGCTTCCTCGTCTGTGAAAACGGGGTGGACTGCGGCTGGTTGTGGCTGGCAGTGTGGTAGTGCGCCCCAACAGTGAGTGGGGAGTGGCCCGGGCCCTTCATCCACAAACAAGTTTGCTGCCTGTCAGCACCAGAGCTCCTGGGAGGAGACAGAAGGATGAAGCCAACTTAGACTGGTGTGTACCGCACTTCAGTCTGCAGTCCACTCCAGGTAGGTCACCTCTCCACATGACACTGGTACTGCTATCCCATTTTCCAGCAGGGGTCAAACTTGTCCAAGGTCAGTCATGAAGTCATGGTGGAGCCAGGACCAGAACCCAAGTCTCCTGTGTTCCTTTTGGGGCTCACTGCAGACATGGTGTGGACACGGGTTTGAAACCTGCCTCTGCCCTGAGTCCCCAGCCCCAACTTGAGCCCTGGCCTCCTTGACCTCCGCCCTGGCCCAAGCGCCCTACTGCCTCCGGCAAGGGTAAGCCCTGGGTTACAAGAGGTTTGGGGCGGCGGGCCGGCCACATCCACGATCACTCGCGGTAACTGGGTTGCAGAGATGGGCACAGCTGGGTGGGCGACACCATGACTGCAGTGCCTTCCCGCGCGCCCCAGGTATTCTGTGCGCCGAGTGGGTTACGTAAAGTTCGGACGCCCCACGTCACTGGGCAGAGAGTCACAGCCGCGGCTCCGCGACTGGGGGTTGGGCCAACGAGGACAGCGCGCCCGGGCTGCCCGCCAGTTCCTCTCTGTCCCCTCTGGGGCGGCACGGCCCGACCTGGGCGGCGGCGGGTCGCCAGGGACGAGCCGGGACGTCCGCGGGAGGGTGGCCCTCTCGGCTAGGGCTGCACCTGCGCCTGTGGGCACACAGGAGGCGGCGCCCGGGACGGGAGCTGAGAACCGCGCGTGTCGGGGGCGAGGGACTCACCATTAGGGGCAGAGGGGCCCGGGCCGGGCGCCCCTGTCTGCGCTGCGGGCAGGAGCACGCGCTGTCCCCACGCGGGCGATCAGGCGGAGGCCCCCACGACGGGCGGCCAAAAGGAAGCCGCCGCCGCCCGCGCCCGCCGCAGCCGCGCTCTGAGCCGCCGAGGCCGGATCGCTGGGCGGCGGTGCCGGCACCGGCGGCTGGCGGGCGGCGGGCGGCGCAGTGCGGCCGAGGCCGGGCAGGACCGCGGAACCGTCCGCTGCCACCATTGGCCCGTTCTGCCGGCCCCCGCCGCTGCCCATTGGCTACCACGCTGCACCATTGTTACGTCATGGACCGGAGGGCGGGGCGCACAGCAGGACCCGCGGAAAACTTCGGAGAAACTTGAGGGTGTGCTGGTGGGGGGGTGGAATCCCGGAGGAGGGGCGGGTCCGGGCGCGGAGAGGCGAGACTGTGGTTGGGAGGCGTGGCCGGGGGCGGGGCGGGGATCGTTGGGGCGGAGCTCCGGGGTCCCGGCGGCCCAGGTAGTGGAGTGTGCCTGGAGCTGCGCCCTTGGTGCTGTAGCTCTGTGAGAGTCTGGGCGCACGCGGAGGTGCCTGGGCGTCGGTGGTGTGTTGATTTGCTCGTCACCCCACGAGTCGTGTTCCAGATCTCCTTGCCTAGTTCTCGGTGACCTTGAGCAAAAACCTCTGGCTGTTATCCCATCTGCACGTGGGAGGGTCAGGAATAGGGTCTGTGCTCCTAAAGTTTCCCACTGCGTGCTGCCTGGCCATTGTCGGCGAACCCCTGCTCCAAACGGACTCTCCCAGGGATGGATGGGTGGATAAGAGCTATTTATGTGCACCCACTGTGTGTCCTCCCGGTCTAAACACTAGATTTTCCTTTACCGCCACAACTGCCGGTAGCAGTGGGAGTTACTATTTCCTCCTCAATTCATCCACCAGAAAGTCCTGCTGGAGAGGGAGGCCAGCCAGAAAGGAAGCCAGGCGTTTGCCCTGCTGTTCTTCCAACACTGTGAATTGGATGGGGGCCACCTAGCCTCCCCACAAGAGGCCTGAGGTTTGGGGTCATGACTTTTGAGGCTCAAGAACCTGGGGTCCATTCCAAAAGCACTAATATATGCCCTCACACTTGGCCCAGCTACTAAGAATTGTAGGCCCATTTCACAGATGTTAACATTGAGACACAGAGATGATGACTGCTCAGCCAAAACACACCCTTTCCTCTCAGACTTAGCCCTTCCACCAGGATCCCCACCCCATATTCTGAGGCCAGGCTTCCAGGCCTCATTTGCCTGCATTTGATTCTTCTATGCCTTCTATGAGGTGATGCACTGGAGTGAAGGTGACAGGGCTTCTGATAAAAGTTCTGCCTCTTCCCTTCAACCTCCTTCTCCCTCCGTCCCTCCTCTTCCCTTCAACCTCCTTCTCCCTCCGTCCCTCCTCTTCCCAGCCCTAGAACTGTAGGAAATCTGTTTCTGCTAAATTATACAGCCTGAGGTATTCTGTGGACTATGACCATTACTTTGACACCCATCCTCAAGGTACCTGCCCACTGTTCTGAGTCATGGTCTTGCTGGGAATGCCAATTCCCCAGCACTTTTGTGACCATCCTCCCCCATATCTGAGGGGGCCATGGCTGGGTCTATGCCCGGGCAGCAGTGGCAGAACAGGCCATACCCTTCCCCAGCAGCTTCATAGGCCATATTGTGCCCTCCAAGGTTGTCCAGGGGACAGCCATGAAGGGGCAGGTCCCTCAGGGAGGTTGGATGGACAGGCTTGGGGGCATGAAGGGTGGCTGGGGGTGGTGGGACTGGGCAAAAGGCAATTAACAGAGAAGCTGAGAGAGCTCCCAGGTCTGGGCAGAAGGGGGGTGAGAGCAGAGGGTCTTCCTGCTGGGGATAGAATTCGACCTTTGACCCTGCTGTTTGCTGGCTGAGGTCTGACCCAAGGCACACGCCCTTCTCTCCTGGAGAGCTTGTCCTAGGGCTTGTCCTCAGAACGGAGAGATGAAGGCTGGGGGACCACAAATGCTGACAGCACCCGTGGGTCCTGCAAGAACTCCACTGAGGAGCTGGGAGGGCTCTCAGCAGAGCAATCACATGACTGGTGCAGGTTTTCTCAGCTCTCTGGCTGCTGAGATCGATGGAAGGGGCAGCCACTGTGGCTGCTGACGGGGTGGCAGCTGAGGAGTGACATAGAGTTCTTCAGAGTGAAGCACAGCATTGCGCATGGATTCTGCTTGCAGGGTGTGTGTGTGCAAGGAGCTCAGGACGCCCCAGGTTTCAGACCGAGCACCTGAAAGTCCAGGAGAAGCCAACAGAGGAGCTCTGAGAGAGGTGTCCTTGCACCTGGAGGTTGGCGAAGAAGGCTGCCTGTGACGGACAGCAGGGAGGAGGAGAAACAAGGAGGTCCCAGGCCTGAGCCTGGGGAGCAAAGGGGAGAGGCCCTCAGAGGTCAAAAAGACAGGATTCCTGGAAGCAAAGGTGGCCCAAGAAGGAAGTAGTGGTCAGCTGGGACCAGTGCTGCCAGCCACCAGGGACTGGAGGACTTGCAAAATATATAGGTCACAGTGTCCTTTACCAAAGGTCATGGAGTGGAAGGAAAAGCCTATTTGGAGAGAGTTCAGGCACCAGTGGGGAGAGGGGTGGAGAGAGCTGTGAAGGGGCAGAGGAAGGGGTGGAGCTGGAGGACAGGCGAGTAAAAAAGAAAGAACAGATGTGTATGTGCATGTGAAGGCATGTGGTCACGCCCACACGTGCTGTGTGCATTGTGTGCAAGTACAGAGAACTGCCAATGTGTGTGCGCGTGTGTGTGCAGTACACTGACAGGTTGCATTGCTGACGGTGGAGCATGACCAAGAGATGTCTTGAGACTAGCAGGAGTCAGGTGTCAGAGGCTCACACCTGTAATCCTAGCTACTCAGGAGGCAGACGTCAGGAGGATTGTGTTTCAAAGCCAACTCCAGGAAACAGTTTGAGAGACCCTATCTCAAAAACACCCAGCACAAAAAAGGACTGGCACCTGCCTAGCAAGCGTGAAGCTCTTAAGTTCAACCCTCCACTGCAAAAAAAAGACTGGTAGTGATGGTGCTTTCCATGAGTGAAAGAGACTCTAGTAGTTCTTCTTGGGGGTGAGGGACAGAGTGCTGGGCACCGATGCCAGGGAGGGCACAGGTAAAGGTGGACCAGATATGTCTACTCTGATGGTTTCTGTCTTCAAGGCCATCTGGCAAGTGAGAAGGGGAAACTCAGCCTGGAGAGAGGATCCATTAACCAACCACCCAGAGAGCCTCCCTGACGTGGACCCCAGCAAGGCCCATGAGGTTTGCCATGCAGGCAGGGGTCGGGCAGCAACCTGAGGCAGGCTGCAAGCTGAGGCAGTTGGGGGGGCTTGGGGGGGGCTCTGCAGCTTCCAGGGTGAAGCTGGCACCAGCCTCGCTGGATCCCATCTATCAAGCTGGCACCAGCTGAGGGACTTGGGCTAAGTGACTCCACCTATCTGAGTGCCAGCTACATATCTGTGAAATGACTTAGGTATGATTTTCAGAAGTCAAATAGAAGGTGTTCCTGGTGGCAGGACTGGCAAGGTCAGGGCAGGAAGTGGCCAGGAGCCAGTGAGAGGTTGGGGTGTTCCATGGCTGCCCCTGTCTCACCCAGGTCCTGCTCTTCTGCCACTTGTCCTTCAAGGACCTGAATGGTGAACCACGGGCTTTCCCCTCTTGAAACCTCCTCCCAGGTAGTTGGGTATGTCCCCATCGCCCACTTCAGCCCATCCAGTGCAAAGACAGGACAAAATCAGATGAAGACAAGGGACCTCCTGAAAGTCAGAGGGTCTAACACAGAGCATACATTCCAAATGTACAAAGAGCTGTTGTGACCCAGCTAGGAAGACCAACCTGGAGGACAATGCACACAGGGTGTGAATAGGTAAAGCACACATAGCATTGGCTACATGTGAAGATAGTTGACTTTGTCAGGAACTAGTAAATGCACAACTTCTTGTTTTGCCTGAGCAGCCTCGGACAGCTTATGCTGGCCAGCAGAGGACACGAGTGCTTACCCTCAGGCAGGCTAGAGAGGAGGGCCCCTCAGAAGGCCCCCCCACAAGGGCCTAGCAATGTCTCTTTTTTTCTTCATGAGGCTAGGGATGGAGTTCATACACCAGCACTTCCTTTTGTACACATTTTATCCCTGATAACACTTGCCTGTGTGTCAAGTTACATGTTCACTGTAGTGGCTCCTGATTGTTTGCTTATGTTTCATAAAAGAGGGCTGAGGACTGTGCACAAGTGGTAGAGCACCTGCCTAGCAGGCCTGAGGCTCTGAGTTTAAACCCCAGTTCCACACTACCACCCCAAAAAAAGTCTCATAAAAGAATTCAGCCTGAATCTTATATTTCATTTGTAATAATTACATAATTGAGCATTTGAAGAAAACACAGATGACAACCAAATACCAAGGAGGCAGGATCAGTGTTACATTTGCATTTTTTAAGAGGGGTGGGGGAGGAATCTCACTGTTATCCAGGCTAGTTCAAGTGATCCTCCTGCCTCGCTCCCCATGAATAACTGAAACTATCAGTGCACCATAGGACCTGACCCTGTGCTGTTTTGAATTGTGAAAAACTGCAGAGCACCTAGGTGACCATCAAAAGGGGTAGGGCTGAAATAACCATGACGTGCTTTCCCATGGCATGCTTTCATAGCATGCTGTGATTTTCCACTCAGCAGCTGGTCCTGCTCCTCTGCCAGGCTTGCTGAGATCCCTGGGTATAAGCCTGCATCCTGGACCCTCTCCTGCACCCCTTCCCCCAGTGAACCAGTACTCGTGCCTTCTGTTTCTGGGTCCTTGCATGATCCCTGGATCCAGCCATGCCTGAATACCCAGGCTTTCCCATTAAGTGAGCTAGGAGATTATCTTTTTTGCTTGGGTCAGTTGATAATGAGGCTGTATCACTTGAAAAACTCCTGACTTAACTAGATTTGCTGAGACAATCCCTACCACTCCACCATGTCTTGATTTGAAAGGCAACTCAGCAAATGCCAGCTATGGTCCAGACACAGGCAAGAACAAAGAGCCTGCCTTGCATTTGGTTTCCTCATCTGTCAAGTGGAGATCCCTGCCATAGAGAGCATTGTGAAGGTCCACTGAGTCCCAGCAGGACACAGCCCCACCTTCCACAGAGCTCACCCTGGTAACTGAGCTGCTGGATTACTTTAATATTTCAACAAAA